TCCTGGCTGATTTCAGCATATTTGTGTATTTCCATCATGTCTTTCATTTGAAACACATCTTAAATGAAATATCTGTAGTAATTAAGCCTGGTAAAGCAGGAATCTAATTCAGCTGTACAACTGTTGGTATAAACAGAAGCAGAACTGGGACCTTGGTGAGGTGGGAATTGTCTGGGAGTGAGTGGGTGTATGTTAGCATAGCTCTGCTATAGGCACTGCAGCTCTACTGATTAGTGCTAACTGAGATTTTCTTTTTTTGCATACTTAATTTGTTTTCACTGGAATCTCATTACTGGATTCTTATTTCCTTCTATAGTAAATCACATGCAATGATTTAAAATCAAACCAAACACTACAAGACAAAGCTAGTTATTCCACAGAATATGAAACAGCAGCACCTACTTTAATGAGTCTTTTCAAATAGAAACTCTTGTGGGACAGTACCATTACATACTCAGTTTCTTGTGACTTGAGCACAGAAGTGCATAGATAAATAGATTATTTCGTATCTACTTAGCCTTTATATCTCATTCTTCATTTGAGAGGTTTGATGTATTTTTCAGTCATAATGTAGAATGTAAAAAAATTTCAAATTGTTATATGAGGTTGGTTTGTCAGTTTGTGTGAGATTTTGAGGTTCTTCATGAGTATGCAACATTCATACTCGGTGTTAAGCGAAGCCAGCACAGTCTGTATCCACTGCAGAGTGATAACTGCATGTGTGTTTCCTTGATACAGTTTTCTACAGGGACCTTGTACTGCTTGTATCAATTAGAGCAGTCTGACTGGCAATTTATTGTCTTAGAGTAACTTTGTCTATTTTTTCTGGAGCTTGGATTACAAAGGTGGCTGTTCTGTAAGCTTACTGCTGCTAAGCCATTTATTAGCTACAGCAGAACCATTCTCAATTTTAATTGAAGCCTTCTGAGGGAAGGTAGGAAATTGCTTATAGGTCAGGTAAAGTGAAACTTGAGGATGCTATGTCTGCATGAAACATTATGAAAGAGTTCTTTAGGAAGGCATCTACAGCATGAAACACTGGCAATAGCCACCAGGTTTCAGCCAGGGACATTACTCTACAGTCATCTCAGGGACCTCCTGTCTGGGAAGAACTAGAAGGAGTAGTATGGGCAAACTGTGGCATTAGACTTGTGCTGCTTTTTGCTTTCCTTGCAGGCCTCGTACATAGCTCCATGACACACATTAGCGTAAGAAATTCTAGTTTGCTGTGCTGTTTATCCAAGCAGTCTTTGCTGTAGATCAGGATTTAACTATAATTCATGCTGTAATATGGGATTCTGATCAGAGCAGTGAGATAAATAGCATTGGTAACTCAGGTTGGAAAACAGCAGGCCTTGTGAATGGAAGCTTTGTGTTGTGCAGTTCAGCCTGCTTAATTGGTGCTTCTTTTGAGTTATGCCTTCCCTGAGGCTCTAGAAAAGAAGCTGTGCTAGTATACGAATTGAAGCCAACATTTTGCCAAAGCACTGTCTGAGCCTTTGGCAGACTGCAGAGCCTTAGCAGAAAGTTTGGGCAGTGCTAATATATGCTGCAGTTCTGGAACTGTTCGAGTGGAAAATTCGGTGAAGGTAGGGGCTAGGTTTTCAGTTGTTGAGAGATACCCACCCATAACCTAGCAAAGCTAAAACTAGAGCAGGGTTTGAGTGATACTTTTGAACCACAAACATGCTCCAAAAACGGCTGTGTCTTGCTGTCCCAGATGAAGATTTCTGTTGCGCAGTCGCACGTTAGTAACTTCCTGAAGAGAACAGGTTGTGGCCTATTGAATGCTGCCTATTTCAGGCAGAAGTGGTGTTTTATTATGTAATGGGCAAGTTAAGTTATGCCCAGAGTATTCTTAACAAGTTATTTCTAGCTTTTTCATAGCATTTATGAAACATGGAAGCATCACCTATGCTTACTATTTCCAGACATTGTCTACTCAAAAATCCTGCCCAGTACTGGCTGAAAATTCTCCCTGAGACTGTAGCTGTTACAGACTCTGAAATCAAAGGCTCAGGTTTCTTTTTTGAGACCTCTTGGGAGGAGATAATTCACAACTGACCCATCTCTCAAATTCTTTGAAGTGTAATGCTGCCAGCCTGCAGTGCTCTGACTGTTTCCACATTGCAGCATGATCTGGGGTAGGCCCAGTGAACTTGGCACCTACAAGGATGCTTCTGGCAAGATTTTATGAGTTTTAAAAGTTTGGGAGAAGTGAATGCTAGCTGTGAGCCTCAGTTTTATAAATCTAAATACATCCACATATGTCCATATGTGCCACTCCCCTGCTTAGCATCTCTGACTGTCCTATGACACTGGACTTGTGATTAAGGGATGGAAGGAATAACCTTTTCCAGTTGCTGGATAGGGTTTTTCTTAACTGACAATTTCCTTTGCATTCCCAAAGATAACCGCAAATTTATCTGGTCCTTTTTGCTAGATCCAAAACCCCTCTGATTAAATATTTTCACAAATAACTTATTATTCCTAACGTCATGTCCAAGATCCACAGATAACAGATTTTCCAGTACATTAGAAATGGATATGGATTAGTTGTTTAGTCAATAACTGTGATAACCAGCAAGTTTTCTGGGGAACAGGATGTTTTCACTGGTCTCTGGAAATGTGATCTGACACAGTAGTCCTGCTGCAAAAGGTTGTGATGCCTTGTGCTAAGCTGTTTCCAGAATAACTTCTGATGGAGTTAATCTTTGGATATTTCAATGTCATCTACATAATGAAAAAACATTTAACTTCCTGAGAAATCAAGGTGAAAGGTAGCTGAGAACTTCCCTATCCTGAAGGAGAAATACATATATATATAGTGGCCTGACTAATGTGTATTGCAGCCTAATGAATCACCATATAGGCAGAGCATAAAATATATTTTCTTTAGCATGGGTATCTGCACATCTTTTCCTTGAGATATTGCTTCATTCATATTCTACCTGCACATATGAAACTGCTTCCTTTTTCAGTTTTTAGATGTTTTAACCTTTTTTTAATTCCTCTTATTCTGCTTTTTCATGTTTGCTTTCTGCTGGAGATTTTTATCTCCTAGAAATCCAAACCATCATCCTGTGTGATTCTTATTATCTTCTCCTTTATCCTTCAGTGGCTGTTTCTGAGGGCAGAAATAAAAGTGTACTCTTTTTTTTTTTTCTTACCCTTCTGGAGCTGAAAGTGTTGCTGAATGAGTGGGTGGTCAAACTCCTGGGTATTTCCCTCCTGTGAATATGACCAGCTTTG